AGCTCTATTTCAGCTAAAAACCAGGACATACGTGTTCCCAAGCACACAATGTCCCAACTGTAAGGACCCCTAACAAGTGATTAAACATTGTGAAGGTGGCTTTTTCAAATAAGGTACATCAGGAACATGAATCAGCACAACTGAAGACAGTTTTAAGTCAGCAGTCCATTAGGACTCTTTTCAATTTAGTCTTCTGTTTAATCCACTATGAGAACATTTTCAGGGAGTCTTCTGAGAGCTTAAATTTCTCCTAGCTTGTAGCAACCCGTGGGTTTAATCACATGCTTGCATTTTTAGGTGAATGTTCTAATCCATGTCTTACTCACACCATGGAACTTTAGCATCTTTGAAACCTTCACAGCAAAAATACATTTTACTATGTGACTTGTGGAAAAGAAGGAAGGGAGAAACAACTGCCTGATTCAAGCTGGCATAAAGAACTTTCTTCTTTTTTGTGGCAAGAAATGGAAATAGTACAGTGCTTACAGCAGGATTCCAGACTTGGTCCATCTCAGATATCAGAGAGGGAGATGTTTTTTTCCCCGAGTGCAGAGTAGCATGTTGGACAGGAGGCACATCTAGAGACTGTTGTCTGTGCACACGGAGGGATGGTAGTCGTTATCTTCTGCAAGAGCCTGGCAGGTATAGTGCCTGCTCTTGTGTCTCATAGCATGGAATGGGGATGTAATTCTTGAAGTGGCTGAAATTTTTCTTCGTACTGTTGTCTCACACCATACCTTTAAGACTTTAATAGACACCTTAAGACTATTAAAGGTAAGGTACGTTGCTTCACAGATTTTCACATCTGTAGAGAAATCACAGTGCCCTGAGATAGTTACTACATTTCATTATAATATGCTTATCTTTGATTTAAACAGGTATGAAGATGCTATCAATAAATATGATTCTGTAATGAAAACTGAGCCAGATGTTCCAATTTATGCTACTCGTGCCAAAGAAAGGATCTGCCACTGTTTATCGAAGGTAATTCTGCTTCTATCTCCCTCTGTAAATATCTTTAAAACAAACAAGCAGAAAACCCCAAAACACCCACAACAACATGAATTTTGTTTTGCTTTCTCCTCTCTAGAGTCAGCAGGCTACAGAAGCCATAAAAGTTTGTACAGAAGTTCTGCAGCTGGAACCAACCAATGTGAATGCCCTGAAAGACAGAGCAGAAGCTTATTTGCTGGAAGACCTGTATGAAGAAGGTACAGTTGTATGCAGTCTGCACATAGTTTTATTGTGGGCATTCAAAATACAGTCAGTGTTTCTAAAATTTAACGTGCACTTTGATTCTGCACTGTGGTGTTATCCCTAATCAGCACGGGTAGTTGCAGATTTACAAAAATATCTGCTGGTAATTTTGTCTTGATGAGTGTAAGTGGAACGTACTTGCTTGTTCTACAGTGGAGTTGTCTTTACAAGTGGGCTGTGTTCAGGATGTTTTACGAGACTATACAGCTTACTCAACTCAAACACATTTTATATAATCAGCAATGTCAGACAATTGCATTTAGAGATAAGAGGTAATTATAATGAGGCTGATGTAAAACCATTTTAGGAACTCCATTTTAATGTTTTTGGATGACAACACGAAGCAATACTGTTCTGTCCCCTAGCACATGAGGAGGGCAGAGGAAGGTAACAACCATTACTTCACCTCCATGGGTCTCCATAGTGCTGCTAAGAGCAGTAAACTGATTCTACTCTGGAGGCTGCATTTTCCATACAGGTTCTCCATAAAATGCATACTGTTATGTGGTCCCATCTACAGCCTTGGAGAGAGGGGACTGAGTAATGGGCATCTCTGAGTATGCCATTGTGTTGTTAGCTAGCTTCTCTAAGAGTATTAAGTGCTACTATGCTATTAAAAAAAAAAAAAATCTTCAAAATTTAATTTACTGAATCTCATCTCCACAAGAAATCAGGCTTAAGAAGGAAATTTGGACAGCCTGTCTCTTTCACCCCTGTGCTCAGTCATGCAGCAGTTTTTGAAGCATTGGGCTGTTTCAGTCAAATGTGATGAGGGAAAGGACTTGTAGGCTTTAAGTCTGCATAAAAATAGTTTAATTAATTTTAGTATTTATAGAACAATTTTCCTTTTCTGTATTCTGGTACTGGATTTTTCACTTCACAACTGAACAACAACAACAAAAAAAATCTTTTCTCTTTAAACATTCATGAAGGCAGCTGTTCTCATTAACAGCACGATCAGATTTTTTTGTCTTTTTGAGAAATTAATCACTGAGAGATTATATTGCTCACCTCCTGAAGTTCACTTCAGAAATTATACCTATTCTGTTCTTTTTTTAGGCTTCCTTGACTCAGATTAAAACACAGTATAAAAAGGACTGGTGTGGTTTCATGCAATCCTCTGAATCAGCCCTGCAGGCTTTGTACCTCTGGAGTGACCTAGTCCTTCTTTGCTGAGGCTGTCAAGCCCTCTTCCTCCTTATAAGAAGAAGGGTGGAAGACAACAGCATTTTGGAGAACTGATGACCTTTATACAAAGGCATTGCTTAAAGACAATTTTTCCTCACCCTTTGGTGGTGTTGTCCATTTCTTAGGGTAATGTTTTCCCGTATCTTGTTTAGAACTGCAGTGTCAACCTAAAAGTAAGGCTTAGGAAGATTTCACAGTGATAGGCCCCCTTTGGGCGTTTCCCCATCTTTTTCTGTACTTTGGTACAGTGGGACTCAGCTCAGTCAGTGTTGGGAAAAGCAGATTCACAAATGAATAAAAAGAAGAAACAAACAAACAAAAAACCGGAAACCTAAAAATGTTTAAAGGTACAGAATACAAATCTACATAGATTACAGCTTGTACAAATGGTTTTTATTTAAGAGGAAGGAGTATCGGCAAAAGGAGAACCCAAAGAAAATTTAAGATTTTTTTTTTTTTTTTCTACCCCCTCAAGGTGTGTAAATCTTCAGCTTAAAGGAGGGTACAGAGCAGGGCAAACAACACAGGCTGTGTGTGAGTCCTCTTAGATGTACCTTTTGCTTCTTACTAGTGGACAGAATTGATGTTTGTTTTCTTGAAATTGATGAATCTCAATTTGGATCTTTCTAACACTGTCTTCTAGTCAATCCTCATCTATTTCTGATTTCACTAGGGTGAGAAAGCATGGCAACTCTTGCAGATTAGAGGAGAAAGTTCTGTAACAAGGTCCTGCACAAATGCACAAGAGACAACTTGGTCTTGTGCTGGAGGACGTGCCTCCCTGTTGTAGGATATAAGGAAACACAGAGAGGACACAGCTGGGGTCTGGGCGAGCTTACTTCCTGGGCTGGAGCCTGCTGGGCTTGGCCTTGGCCTGGTTCTTCCACTCTGCTAAGAGTGGAACTGCTCCTCCAAATCCCTGTTGTTTAGCATATCCCCTGCCTTCCTCCTGCCCTTGACAGTAGCGAGTGGTTGTAGCTACACTCTGCCTTCCAGCAGAGCCTCCATAAGCAGTCCTATAGTCCATTAATGTTAGTCTGCCTGAAGGTGTCTTCACTTACCCTTCAGTTTTAACTGCTGTAAAATGATGGCTGATTTCTCTCTGCTGTAGAGAACAGTAGAGCAATTAAAATTGTAGCCTTATATTTAAAGGGGCAAATAGATTCTCATTCTTCCCTCAAGAAAATCTAAAGCTGGAGGCACCTATTTTCCTGTTTAAAGACAGGAAATTTGAAAGTACTTGTAATTCAGAACTTGAAAGGTGATTTTTTTTTAAGTGTTCAAGATGCACTTCAGAATGTATAGCTGAGTTCTGATTCCCATCAAATGGTTTTAATTACTTTATAATCACATGGGATCCAGGGCTTGTCTACAGCGACAGATGTGTAATGACTCACTTTCTGGCTTGCTTCGTAAGTACAGGAGTCTATCTGCCTAAATTATGCAGCACAAGTTTTGTCAAAGAAGAAAAGAAAAAAACACCTTGCTGTCTCAAAGTTGGTCAGGACATCCTTTTTTCTTCTTTCTTCTTTCTCTCCCCGCTCTACTGCTGTAGAGGACACAGTCCCTATTTCTATAAGAGCATAACTGCTTCAGTTATTCCTCTAACAGAGTTGACGTAGGTGTAGGTTGTCTGCAGTTACTCCTGTTTGATAGGAAATTAATTCTGCATAGTGGCAAATTATGGTCACTCTGTTTTAAAGATGCTGGCAAGATGGGAAAGGCAGCTAAGGTCTTTGGAGATACAAGATAAGATGTGATTACTATTTGAGAGCTTGTGAAGACTCTTGTTTTGAAAGAAGGAGAGTTAGATTTGACTGAAGTATTTAAATTGAAAGTGATACTGAAAACTGGTTGTTCACTGAAATAGCAGGCCAGTAAGAAGAAGCAGTGATTCTTGTGTTGGTTTGTGAGGTGCTAGAGCTTTTACAAATGGTGTCTGGGAAGAGCTGGTTGGATATCTCACTTGATATACCATGAGTTATTAATAAGTCTCCTGGTTTCATAGCAAACTTCTTGTGGTCAAGAAGCTGTCATCTTCCTCCCACCTGCTTCCATCTTCTCAGGTGGGGAGAGCAGTGAGCTCTCTGAAAGAGGGAAAATTCCCACACTGGAGAGTATGATAAAGATTAAGGTCTCTTCCAACTGAGAGAAAGTGGAAAATGTGCTTGCCATCAGGTATCCTGGGTGCATTCCCTCTGCAGTGTGCGGCACTAAAAACATACTTCCCATATCCTTAATGCTTGCAGCCTTCTGTAAGGGAGTAATTTTTTAAAAAGAGAAACCTAGTCCTGTCATTGCAAATATTTGACCCCTGAGCTGCTTGGTTTCCAGCAGTGGTGCATGCTGTAGATGATGTGGTGCTCAGTGAAGTTGAGCAATCTGATCTGCATTTGGCAGGATGTTGTGACGCGACCCCCCATTATTACATAAAGCAGATTAAGTACGCTGGTGCTTAAAATTACTGGAGCAGTAAAGCAGCATAATGAAACCCCTGCATTTTCATTATTTTTGACAGCATATATTAGGCACAGGCATTAGTGTACACTCCCCCTTTTTTGTTTTGGTTTTTTTTTTTAAATGACTGGACAAATTATTAAAAATATCAGCAGAAGCCAAAATGCTTTGTTCAAGTGGCAAATGACAGTGTCCAGTGATGTGAAAATGAATAGAAATTTTCTTTTGCTTGTAATAGCACATGAGATTGTTGGGGCACTGGAAATACTTTTTGGAATTATTTTTTCAGTAACCAATACAAGATTGCAGTGGTATCAGATGTCTGGGTAATACAAATTCATTAGCACTTCCTGCTGTCTTGCTCAGAAACAGTAAAAACCAAATGTAACACCTGCTGAGAAATAGCATCTGCTTGGAAATAATCTGATGCAAGTACTTTGAGAAACCTAGGAGACTTAGATATCTGCAAATGAGACTTTGAGGATTATGACAGTGAAAGAAGAGCAGACTCATTAAGGACTTCAACCATTGCTTCCCTTGATAAATCTTGATATCAAAGAAAAGTTAAACTTGGTGTCTTAACCATTCAGTTGCCACTTAAAATAATAATATAGTTTACTTAAAAAAAAAAAAAATATTGTGTAGACCTGGAATGTCTTAAAGATTCATTAATATGTTACAGCACCTCCCTTGCGTTCAGTCCTGAGAAAGTCAGCTCCTGAAATAAAAGCAAGAGTATATCTTTGTGGAAAAAAAATCCCAACCCTTTAAATATATTTGTGTGCATATTATGCAGAGGTGTAAAAAGCAAATACTTGTCTTTCACTGATGGTATGAACTTACTGGTAATCTGAAATCCATCTTTATTATCATTAAAGAGGAAGAGGCTTTCTATTGTGTTGATGGAGTGCAGACAGTGGGAGAAGAAGGAATATTAATTTGGAGACTGTATAATGCACCCTTCAGTTGAACAGCAGCGTATGGGACTGACATTGTGCAGTGGGCTCTTCAAGTGCTGGTTACTGAAACTTGCTTCTTGATCTCTTTTGTCCTAGTCTACATGCTTGTGATGTTCATCCATGTGGTGGTTATAACATATCTAGAGAGTGTTCTGACCTGCTGCTAGTAACCTCCCTTTTCCTGCATTTCCAAAAAGTGTGGTGAACCTAAAGAAAGAAAATTACCTAATTTATATGTGAAAATTATTCTCCTCTGCTCCAGAGTTTTCTAATTTGGGGAAAAAAACCATGGCAAATTAAAATAAAAGTTTTTCTGTTTATATATGGTAATAGCAAACTTGAGGTTTGGTGAGTGGTTGAGTTCTTTAAACTGAAGTTTATGAAGACTTATCTAATCTTTTTTTCATTCACTCTTTTATATAAAAGCTATTAAAGACTATGAGACTGCTCAAGCCAATAGTGAAAATGACCAGCAGATTCGGGAGGGGTTAGAACGTGCCCAGAGGATGCTGAAGCAATCACAGAAGAGGGATTACTATAAAATCTTAGGAGTAAAAAGGTGAGATATTAATATCCAAGATGATAACGTGAAGGTGGGTTATTAAACCAGTACATCTAGGGCTGATCCCTTGAATTTGTTCTGCTGAGTGTTAGTTTGTGTTCCTATATTGTGCTGCCTTTACTTTCCTGCTGTACTAGTTTAATGTTCAGCTTTTAAGTACCATTTGTTTACAATTCCTTTAGAAAGAATCAAAAAACAACACTGGGAAGGAAGGAAATAAATCCCTTGGTAAGAAATTCTTAGTATAGATGATCAAGAATCAGATGAATGAACTGGGGAGGAAATGAAGACTGGAAAGCATTACTGAAAGCAGCAAAAAATAAATTTGTGGCAGATAGTGTGATAGATTGGAAGAGTTTGAAAGGACTAACTGAAAGGTATCTAAAATGCTTCTGCCATTAACCTTGAGAAACTAATGACTCCTCTTGCTAATGAGGACCAAAAAAATGTTCAGATCTGCACTAGTATTGGTCATCCTTCCAATTGTGAACTAATTTGTTCTCTCCTCTGTGCTTTTTGTTACTTGCCTGATTGTAAATGCTTCAGACTGGGAACTGTATTCTGCATAGTAGCTGGCAGTAGCATCTTTCCAAAAAGAGTAAATGGGTGGTGAAGGAAAGAGTGAGTAATCTTTGTTTGAAGGTGCAACCTGCTTCCTATGGTTTTTGTGTAAAGGATCTTCAGTGCCACCTGCAGAAGGTTAACTAGCTCATAATTCTCCTAATGCCCTTAATTATTGTCTTAGCGTTTAAAATAAACCTGTAGATTCACTACTAATGTGTCATATGAACAGTTAGAAAGTTTTAGTTATCTATAACTTTATTCATCCAGAAATGCTCGAAAGCAAGAAATCATAAAGGCTTACAGAAAGCTGGCATCCCAGTGGCACCCTGATAACTTCCAGAGTGAGGAAGAAAAGAAGAAAGCAGAGAAAAAATTCATTGATATAGCAGCTGCTAAAGAAGTCCTCACTGACCCAGGTAATGATTGTTCTTATGCAGTAACTTAATTTTTTTAAAGTTACTTTTTTACAGAAATGTAAAAATGCAGCAAGTGTAAATCATAACAAGCATCACAGCTTCCCTATTTTCTTTCTCCCCTTATCCCTCTTGAGAAGGCAATGCACTAATACTTGCACCCAGTCTGTTGCATGAAGTCAGATATAAACCTGGATATTACTCTGTTTCATGACTTTTATTTAAAGTCAAATAGTTATTATTTTTAAAGTATCTTTTTAGGATATCATCTGGCAGATATTTTCAGGATTACTTAACTCTGGAGATGCTTCTTCTAAGGCTGTGTGTGTCTCCTGCCTAAAGTTCTATTGCAAAATACATTTAGGCTCTAACAGCACCTGAAGTTCTCCAGAGAAGCCCTCAAAACTGGCCCTTGTTGTGTGTATCAAAGCCCAGATGCGTTGTGCAAACAGCGTGTTTCCTTGAGGGCGGGGGACAGAGTTCTTGGTTCCTGTCTGCCTGAGGGAGAAGATGCCCTGACTGCTGGTCTGTGCCAAGCTCCTGGGGCCAGTCCAGTCCCTATGAGCAGGAAGCCCTGTCAGGTCTGGCTGTCTGCTGGTCAGCTCTGGAGGAGGGGAAAAAAGTGAAGAATGTGGTCAGTCTCCTGGGAGAACCTGTGGTGTGGTGATGCAGAGGTCTGGTGTCTGTCTTGCCAAGAAATCAACAGAAGGGATTGGACCATTTAGTCTCAAGACAGTAGTAAAAAAATGGAGTAGTGTGGTTATCTCGGCTCCTTTAAAAATATAAACAAAAACCAAACAAAAAACCCCACAAGCAAACCAAACAACAACAAAAAAACCACACTGAAAAACAATACCCCTCTGCCCCCTCAACCAGAGCCATCTGTTAAGAGCTTGTCTTTAAACTGTTCTCGAGTGGTCACTGGAAAGAGAGCAGCCTGTAAAAGATGTAGATGTCAGAGGCTCCTGTTGAACTGTTCGTGATCATCTAATTGATAATTAGGCACATGGGCTTAGGCTTCCTTGGGGGCAGGAGGGATCTGAGAGTAGTGAACTGCATTATGAGCAAACCTTTTTCTGTGTTAATGTGATCTTTGTTCATAATTGTGAACACAAATTAGGAGATTTATATACTGGAAGCATTTGAGATGCTGTTTCCCTGTCAGCATCTTCAGGACATGTTCATCTGCTTTCTTCTTCACACTGTTTCTTATGTCATGTTTAACATTCCTGTCAAACCATCTGGGCAAGAAAAGTAATACCAGTTGTATTTGGCTTTTGTAAGGCCATCTGTATTGCTTTCTGTTTCTTCTTACTGCAGAGATGTTCTCTCCTGTCATCCAGGTGTGTTTCCCAGGTCATTTTCTGGTTCTAGTGACTGTGTTGGTTATATAAACAAAAACTGTAAGGCCTGTGGACCTCTGAATCTCTGAGCTTGGATTTGCAAGCTTATTATCGTAGTGCTCTGGTGTACTCTGAGGCCATCGACCACATGCCTCCCCGAGCTCGTCTCATGATTCCCCCCTAACTAACACCTTTGCTTCCCTTCTCTGCCTTCATGAAATGTGTGTCCTGAAAAAGTGCTGGGTGATCAAAAACATTGTAGTGCTTGCAGGCTCCTTGAAAGTTGGATACAGGTGTAAGTAACAGAGTAGTGGTGTAGCCTGTAGGTCTTGGGGAAGGCTTTCACCTTTGTCCCTGCTGGACAAAACAACTTAACGACCATGCTTTCTGCCTCCAAACCGCTGTCCCATAGACAACTCTCTGCCTGAGTGGTATGTGGAGAAGATGAATGCTTGGGGCTCAGCATGCTGACTTCTGTAATGTTGCTGAATGATGGATACTGGAAATGATTGGTTGTGAGGAATTGGCAGGATACAACATGGTCTGTCCTCAGACCATGCCCAGAGAGTGCAGCTATGAGAGAATAGGTCCAATAAACTCATCAAGGACAAAATGTCCCATTTATTTGTGGGACACAGTTGGTCAGAGTGCAGATGTCCTGCTGGACAGCCAGGTACTGCCTTGCCTTGTTTTAAACTAAATTACTTGTTTGAAGTTTTTTTTTAAATACAGTGTTTTCACAGAGTTTCTCTCTTCTCCTCTGCCAGTCTCCTGGACAGCTTTGAAAAGCTCCAAGTGATTGGTTATGGGTCATCAAAGATGCTTGGTGTTAACTGCTCTAACTACTGTGCCCTGATTCCTCCTTGGTTTTGTTTCCTTCAGAAATGAGGCGGAAGTTTGATGCCGGAGAGGACCCACTGGATGCGGAGAGTCAGCAGGGTGGGGGCAACCCCTTCCACAGGAACTGGAACACGTGGCAAGGATTCAACCCCTTTGGTTCGGGAGGAGGACCATTTACATTCAAATTTCACTTCAGTTAGAGCCAAGACTGTTTCTGTTGGCTGCTGCTGTTTTTTACTTAATTCGTTGAAAAATAAAAAGTCTCTCAGTTCAAGACCCAAAATCTTAATTTCTGACGTTGTCCTTAACCCAGAGTCTTACTGCACTAGAAGAAAGCTCCTTCTTTTAGAATTCAGAGTTTGCTTTGTGGTGAACTTGACAAGCTCGTTCTGGTTGGGGGGTTTGTTACCACCTGTGTATTTGTTGTGGATAGGATGCAGAATGTGTTTGTTCCTATGGATGGAAAAACCAGTAAGAGGCTACTTCGGACAACGCTTAAACATAAACTTAGGACTCAAGTATATGCTTAAAGGTAAAAATGCATGTAAATATTTTTCTGAATTGGGGCCTAATAAACATGGAAAGGGTAGTTACAATAGTCTCTGCATTAACAAATTGTTAGTCATTGTGCTCAGCAGAATGATCCATTTCTCAGTATTCTGAAAAGGAAACCCTGGTGCCCCCCTGCTGTGTTACTGTTGGCTGTGCCAGAGGTGGGGTGAAGAGGCTGAACTATCGCTCTGAAAGAAGATCGCTTGTAGCTAATGGTGTTTGAAATGTTTACTCACTTCATTCGTTAACCTGACATGAATTGGGACGATTTCCTTGGCGTTAATTGTCAACTCTGGAAAGTAAAAAAAAAAAATATACCTGATGTTTTTTGAAAGACTTTTTCTGAATGTGATTTGGGATGTTTAGGTATCATTTTTGAGTAGTCTGCACTTTAACAATATAATCTTCTTGAGATTTGAGCAAAAAATTTGATGTGACATTTCCCTGACTACGCAGCAGTTTGTTACTTCTCTGTCCAGAAGCTCAGAACCGATCCAGGCTGTGAGGCGAGTGTGCTGCTGACTGTAGGAACACTCCAGCCTTCCCCCATTCTGCGGGGTGATGCGACGGCGAGGTCATACTATGGGAAGCTGGTTGTGGGAGTTTTGTGTTGTGTGTAACAGCCACAGTACTGCAGAAACAGCTGCCTGTGTGCAAAAAGAGGGACTAACTGTCCATGAGCCAGAAGTCTCACTTATTTTTCCTGTATGCACGTAGCTAAAATTGGTTCAGTGTATTGATCGAACTGTGTGAATGTGATGTGAGGTGTGACCAGGGCTGGAGCTGCTGTGAGGGAATGGTCTTCTCATTCTGTAATCAAATACATCATAACTACTGCTGAGTCTCATCAGCAGCCATTTTCTTAGAATGCAAGAATTAGTTCATCAGTGTTTTCTTAATTGGATTTCAACTGGGAAACAATCATCAGTTGATAGGGATCTTCTCTCACTTCAGCTCATGGCATTTGAAAGCATAAGCAGCCTCAGTACAACAAATGAAAGCAGCAGCTAAGGTCTTCAGTCTGAACGTGGGCTTTGTATTGCTGTCATTGGAGTTGCTGTTGAAGCATAACCCTTGTCTCCTGCTCAAGTACTTTACAGACATAATTGTGAGGCCACGGGGCTTTGTAAAATGTTTTTTCAACAGTAATTTAGAGGTCAGTGTTTGTTCAGCAGAAATTTATCTTCAAGCTGAAGAGTGTATGTGGTGATTTCTAACAGTGTATGGTACAAAAACACCCCAGCAGCCTATTAAACTCTGGTGTCAGATATGTTCCAAGTTGAATGACTTTTTGAGAGCTTTGACTTACCTGAAAGCTTTTTGTTTAAACGCTGTAGAAGATGCTCAGGGTGCTAGCGTGGTTCTTGTAGGACCTCTTGGGCTCAGGCATAGGAACTTGCTGTTACCCTGTGGTTTCAGCTGATGCAGGTGGCTCTGTGTGCGTGTGGCTTTTGAGGACAGTAAGGAACTGATGGTAGGCAGCTGTTGTGGACAACATCTCTCAGCTGTTGTCAGCCCTCAGGGGTGAGCTGGACCCACCTGTGCTTGCTGCAGGCTGGGTGGTGGCTGTGTGGATCACAGCATGTGTGTGTGTGTGTGTGAGAGCCACTGCTCTGTATAAACACTTTGCTATAGTGCTGTGTTCATGGCAGAGGGGCTGGTTTAAATTACTCTGGAATGACCCATGTGCCACATCTTGTGCATACAGGAGCAGTGCTGTTTCAGGCAGTCGCAGTAACCACCACAGCTGTGTGTGTGTGTGTGTGTGTGTGTGTGTGCGCTGGGGAAGTGGTAAAAATAATATCATCTTCTTTGGAACGACTGCCATTGTTCAGCTCTTTTGTCCTCATCCCCATCCCATCTCTCTTTGGAAAGCTGCAGCTGAGGAAATTGTTTCCTGGTTTTAATTTTTTTTAAGTTATTGTTTTTTAAGGGAAGGAATAAGAGGGACCTTTACAAGTAAATGATTCATACAAGGCACTGGTGTGAGAGCAGTGCCTATTGGTTTCTCTAAGGCAATGGACAGTTCTGCTGCACCTTAGAAGCAGTTGGGAACAAAAAGGATTTATATTTGTTTTGAGAATGAAGGGGAAAGGGAAAACTACATACCAGGTAAGGAAAAAATAAAACAAATTTGATTGCAGAGGAATGCTGCTCACAGATGCCTTCTGGCAGCATCTTGAAAATAAATGACAATGGCAAAGTCTTTCTGATATTAAGAAAGATGATATATCCCAAGAAGTGTTACCACTCAGGTGGTGTTTTTAAGGGAGCAGATGGTGGCCTGTAGCTCTGAGGTACTTGTGAAAATACAGGAGGACACAGTTGTGTTAAAAAGAAAGTGTTGATGTTGCCAGGATCTCTAGATACAGGGATGCGTGTCCTGATGTGACTTCAGCAAATGAAGCGCTGGTGCCACACTGAGTGTTAATGGTGCACGCGATGCACAAGGGAGCTGAATTCACCTTTGTATTTATTAGTGGGTGTCTGTAGTGCAATAATGTTCAAAACTGAACATGGAAATAAATGTCTTGGTATTCTGTAAACCCCGAGATGTGCATGAAGCATCGCTACACTAATTGGCCTACATGTAGATGCAGACTTTCTCTGTTGAGTTTTCTCTTTCAGTTCTAATAAACTAGTTTCCAACTTGTTTTGAAATGGGGGGGAGTGGGGGGGTGGTGTATTTACTTGATACATGCTTAATACTGATGTATTAATAAATCAGTATTAAAACAAGATTCAAAGTGAATTATAAACTTAAGAGCTTAAACTTGTGACATATGCAGAAAATGTGTCAGCTTAAAACTTAAAAAAATAAATAAAGCTTGTTATTGTTTCAGTTTTCAGACCAGTGTTTGGAATAAGAATCTTCTTCTGGCGAGGGCTGTGATTTTTAGGCGCTTTGCTGGAAATGAGCCAGTATTGCACAGCGGGTTAGTTGTATTTAAAAGTGCCTTATTGTAAGGTATTGTTTGTTTGCTCTGTAACACACACTTTGATCCATCAAACAATAAAACAAATGGGAGTTGGTTTTTTTTTGCCCTCAGTAGCAGTTTTATGTTTTAAGAAGGGTAAGTAAAGCTAGCCAGAGATTTATAAAATGTTTCAAATTGTAACATCTTTATATAAAATCATAAATCTAAAGTAAGATGTTTTTTCTAGAACTGTGGGAATTATTTTATGGTATTTTTCACAATAAAGATATTTATGATGACAAGAAAGCAGTGCAGTGCATTTGTCTGCCCTTCTTTCCTCATTCTGCTCTCCACGTTTGAAGTTAGAGCTGTGCAGAAAGGCAGCAGACAGTGGCCAAAAAGCAGCTCAGGCACTGAATTAAAACTTAAGCAGCTACTGCACAAATTGTTGGGCTTTAAGGAGTAAGGTGCAGAGTGATGCAGCAGGTGGATACTTCACACTTGGGTTTCAGAACTGACCTGTGTTCTCTTTGGAGCTGGGCAGGTAGCAAATAGGCTACTCACTGTGCTATGGCAACATCACTATAGTGCTCATTTGTATTGTGCCAGGTGGGGACACTCTGACCTTACCCCAGAGCAGCCTTGGAGAATAAGCACCTCAAAGGCAGAGAGAGACCACGTGCTTTCAGGCCTGCCATTGAATATATATTCATCAGTACAGAACTTATCTCTTGCAAAGGAATAAATTAGTTATCTGATAATAAAAGGTCAGCAACTATGTAATTAATTCCACAACTTTTATTAATGTCTTCTTCATGCATGCTTTTTTTTTTTAAGTGCAGTATTGATTGATTCTGGGTTTAAGCTGTGACTATAAATATTAAAAAAAAATAAATCTACATTTCACAGCTGTCAAAGCCCAAACTCTGCTCCAGCATGACACACTGATGCCTGTAACTGGAGCAAGCTGCTTCTGTGACAGCCTTTTTAAGACTTCTGTCAGTGTGTGATGAGAAGCTGCCAGAACACTCGTCTCAAAAGAGTGAGGATTCAGAAGTAAAAGAACCAAGATCTCCACCAGCAGAGAGAGATGTAGGTTCAGGAATAGGGACAGTGGCCATAACTCTGTGACTCCTGCCTGTGGGAGAGGAACTCACAAACCACATTGAGACTTTCAACATGCAGAAGGGCTGGAAAGAGCTGCTGGGACACGTACTTGACATTGTGAATGAAAGCTTTGCTACCACATGTGCTGTCTAAAGACTGTCCTCTTACAGGACAGCCTCACTGTGAGCACACCCTCGCAGGCAGGTCCCTCAACCCCTCAGCTTCAGAGGGATTTGAAGCTGCCCATCTGAATGGGGCTCACCACAAGCTGTGGGCAAAAAAAGCGATATTCACCAAAGAAGTGCAAAAGTCTGTCATGGTTTAACCCCAGCCAGCAACCAAGCACCAGGCAGCCACTTGCTCACTCCCCCACGGTGGGATGGGGGAGAGAACTGGAAAAGTAAAAGCAAGAAAAGTCCTGGGTTGAGATAAGGACAGTTTAACAGGGAAAGCAAAAGCCATGCACGCCAGCAAAGCAAAACAAGGAATTCACTCACTCCTTCCCAGGGGCAGGCAGGGACTGCTGCCTGCTTCCACTCACATTTCCTTGTCTATTCTTAAATCCAGACTTTGAACAAAGGAATAAATCATAACAACAAAGGAGAAGCAGGAAGGAAGGAACCATCTGTCTATCTAGCTTGGAAAGGTGAAGTCTTGGTGTAAAGGCAAGTGCTCGATTTAGGAAAAAGGTTAAAAGGAACCTTCC